AGTGAGGGAGAATTACAAAGAGGAATGAGGAACTTTTGGAGGTGATGCTGATAACTGTCTTGACTGTAGTGATTTCTCTGGTGTACATCTGTCAAAATGTATCAGATTCTAGTCTTTATGCACAGTTTACTGAGCATACTTCAACAAATCTGTTTAAAAACCAAACGCAGGGAGAGTGTTCTTAATTACAAGTCTAATAAGACATAACCAAATGCAATGTATGAACCTCGATTGTATTTTGGATTGAGGAAAAATCATATGAGACATTTTTGGAACAAATGGAGAAATTTGACTTTGTTTCATATGTTAAATGATATGAAATTACTGTAAAATTTCTTAGGTGTGATAATGGTACTGTGGTTATATACAAAAGTGTCTATTTCTTAGGTGATGCATACAGAAATAAAGTGTGAAGTATTATAATGTACATGACTTTTAAATAGTTCAGCAAAAAGAGTAAAGATAAAACCATTTTAGCAGGAAATGAACAGATGGTGAATCTGCATGAAGAGTATACAGATGTTCTTTGTCCTATGTCAAATTTTCTGAAAAATTGTAAAGTATTCAAAATAAAAATTTGGGGAAAATATATGTATTGTATATGCTTACATGTATCTAGGCACAAAAAGTGAGATGGGGGGCCGGGCATGGTGGCTCACGCCTGTAATCCCAGCACTTTGGGAGGCCAAGGTGAGTGGATCACAAGGTCAGGAGATTGAGACCATGGTAAAACCCCATCTCTACTAAAAATACAAAAAATTAGCCAGGTGCGGTGGCAGGCACCTGTAGTCCCAGCTACTCGGGAGGCTGAGGCAGGAGAATGGCGTGAACCCGGGAGGCGGAGCTTGCAGTGAGCCGAGATCGTGCCACCGCACTCCAGCCCAGGCGACAGAGAGAGACTCCGTCTCAAAAAAAAAAAAAAAAAAGTGAGATGGGGATGTTTCAGTTCATAGTCATAGGAATGCAGGAACAAGTTCTGGGGAGAGGATGTGGCTTTTCTGAGAGATGCTGATGTGACTTAGTACTTGCTGTAAATGTTGTAGGGTGCTCAGCTGATCATTGAGGTAAGTGCTTGGAAGGGGAGTTACAGAATAAATTATATTTAGAATATTCTTGATTCTAATTAGAACTGAGATGCCCATGAGGGTTCTAAGTGATACTCTGATTCTGGCTAAACTCCCAGGGAGCACAAGTGCAGGAGGTGTATTTGGAAATGCCCTTAGTTTCAGTACCAGTAGGCAGAAGGGAGAGAATTAGGATTGGGCTGATGGAGAAGTTGGGCTGGGATGCAGACTCAACAGGTCTCAGCTGGCATCCCTCAGGGAACTCAGAAGCTGCCTTACAGAGGTGTCTCACTTGGGACAAAGAACCGGGCCTTTATGTACCAGTATCTCCCAGTCATTATTTGCAGGATGCCCAGGGGAAGGGGGCATACACTTAAGCAAGCTGAATCTCTTTAGTCAAGGCAATTCCCAGAGAGAGCTGTCAGCTGATGAATTTTCCAGCGTCTGCACCAGTAGAACCCTCGGTCCTCAAGGTGGAATGCCTCTGGAGGGTACGGCACAACATTCATAACACACTGCTTCTGTGTTTCTTTCATATATTGTTAATGCTTTTTAGACAAGGCATGCATAAATAATTGCCTATAATAATTGACATATAATCATTTATAAATGTTATACATGGTTAACATATTATTTCAAAATTCTAATTTTCTTCAGCATGTGTCTTAACTTTCTTCAATTCATGGCATGTTATGGAGGCCATGGATTTTATCAAAAAGAAACAAGTTAGCTTGAGAAAGAAGACATGCTTCTGAGACTCAAAGGCGAAGTGAAGATAATACATTGGGACATAAGGATTTCTAAACGCCTTTATATGAATTCCCACAAATACTAAGTGAAAGAGAGGAAACTGGAATTTAGGATTTCTGACACCTGAATCCAGGGGTTTCATCTCTACACCAGGGATATATGTGTTAAGACTACGCCTTAATGCAAACTTTGGTCTCACTTTTATGACCACAGGACAAGAAAAGCTTGTCTCAAACATCTCTAATGGGTGCAAAGCCTGTGCCACAGGGTTATAGTGGAAGAAACAGAATGGATAGTTCATTATTAGATACCCTATAATTATCCGGCCAAACTTTCCAGAATCTACAAGGATGTGTAAAGTGGTCATTTCTTTTAAGGTTACAACCACGATTCTCAACCCAAGATTGGAGTAAGATCAACTAATTCCCTCAATTCCTGGACAGGCCTGGGTCTTCTCATTTGAGGTCACCCCTCAGGCTGCCACTTTTGTTGTCACTGTGGAAAAAATTCTCTTTTGTCCTCTTCATAATCCCCTTGATACCACTTCACAGGATTCCAACAACTTGTCCTCATTCTGATATGGGTATTTCATGACTCAGATCTATTTTGTATGTCTGTAAAGGGGTCAGACTTTTCTCACGGGAGATCTGGGGCACCTTTCCGAGTATCTCATGCATTATTATGGGCAAAGTCTCTGCTTTGGAATTACCAAATGTCTTCTAGTTTTTTTTTTTTTTTTTATATACTTTAAGTTCTGGGATACATGTGCAGAACGTGAAGGTTTGTTACATAGGTATACACGTGCCATGGTGGTTTGCTGCACCCATCAACCCATCACCTACATTAAGTATTTCTCCTAATGCTATCCTTCCCCTAACCCCCATGTCTTCTATTTTTATTCCATCTTATATGTAAGCAAAACAGCTAGAAAATAAATAGAGACAGGTAGTACTGTTCTACCATAGAAAGAAAATTATAAAGCTACTGGGGCACTCAATGCTTACTTGAAACTCAGATAATTCCAATTCATCTTCCTTATGTGGCTTAAGCTCCTCCCTCCTGCCTTATGGCTAGTTTTCTTAGTCTACTCTTGATTTTCTCAAATTACTAAATTTCATATTATAACCACATATCAGCAGAATCATCAGACATTGCAACCTGTTCATGTTTCAGACAATGTTTAGTTTGTATATTATTTATTTTTCATTCTTTTTTCTTTCTGCCTGCTCAAGCACACCTTTTATCATTTGGGACATCTGCCTGGGTGTGTTTATACTATTGGTGGAAAAGATAGCAATGACACATTCTCTTGACAAAAGGTTGTATTTGGTAAGGGAATTGGACACAGTTTCAACTGCATACGGAGAATGTTTGCCCATGATTCTTAATAGGAAATATGAATTTAAATATAAAACACATATATAAATATGCACTCCATGGTAAAGAATCAGAATTTTCTTGTCAGTTGCCTTTAGAAATACTTAGAGCTGTTTGTTTTTCCAAGTACTGGCAATTAAAACTGTGGAGAATGAAAAATTAAACAGTTTTACAATCTAGTCTTTCATTAAATAGGCTTTTTAGTTGAAAGTGACTATCTGTATAGTAGAGTGAGCTTTAGAGTCCCAGAGACCTCAACTTTCTTCTTAGCTTTGCTCCTGATTACTGTGTCTCTTCCCAAGTCATGTAACCTCTCTGCAAACTTAGGATTTTTAATGTATATTCTCTATATGTATTTACTTTAAGATTCTAAATCCACTCATTATATATTTACACCTCAAAAAGAGGGTCGGTTTTACTCATTAGGACTTTTATATGTGCACCATACTTTGGGATTATTATACTCTTTATTCATTCAAAAATTATTTTTTGAAGCCTTCGTTTTTGATAGGTGTACCCCCTGGCCATCACAGAGCTTAAATTCTAGTGGGAGAGTAGGACTTGAGATAACTGAATCTATGACTGCAATGATAATTACTGATAATTATATATACTGTGAATGAAAAGAGAAGGCTGCTGTTAGGGAGCATCACAGGAGAAAATTCAAATTGGTGGCGTGTGGTCATTCAAGTTACATTTCTTCATCAGAGAAAATGCAAGAAGGTTGAACCTGAAGAATGAGTTAGGAGAACTGAGGCAAAACAAACAAACAGAAAACATTCTGGGCAGAGAGAATAATTCCTTTTGCTGGAATTAAGTTTGAATCCCCCAAGAATGCCAGGATAGATAAGTCATATTCAAGAGAAACTAGCTAAAAAATTTGAAACATAGCCAGGCCAGACACTATAGGGCCATGGTAAGTCTTTGAAGGATGTTTGACATCGGACCACATGATCTGCTTTGCAGCTTTTACAAAGATCATTCTGGTTGCTCTGTGCAGAATTATTTGAAAGGAGGCAAAAAAATGGATGTCGTGAAACCAGTTGGGATGCTACCATAGCATTGTCTGCATGATACGAGTGCATTAGAACAATAATAACAATGATAATAGCCAAAACTTCAGAACTTAAAAATGGTAGCCACTGGTCTCTGTGCTTTAGGTGTATTAACTGGTTAAACATATTTGAGACAGGTGAGGTCACTGGAATGAGAAGGGAACAAATTCCAGAAATATTACAGGTATTATTAATTTTATTGTTATTACTTCTTATTACATATATTATATATTGCATTACTTATATTACAGGTAACATTAGCCAACCAGAAAACAAACCTGATATGAAGTATAAAAAGTGAGGGAAATACAAGTGTTAAAGAATAACACTTAAGGTTCCAATTTGTGCAGCCGGGTAGAGGTAACAGTTCCCAAGAAAAGGAAAATTTGTGGAGAGGCATGTTGTACAGCGAATGCCCTATTTTTGACATCGTTTGAGATGCCTGTTTGATTGTCTCAGCAGACCTATGAGGTTGGAGATGATCATCCCTACACTAGAGATGATAAACATCAGAGTTTGAAGCCACCTGGGTAACATAGCAAGACTCTGTCTCTACAAAAACAAACAAACAAACAAAAAAATAGCCAGAGGTGGTGGCACATGCCTGTAGTTGCAGCTACTTGGGAGGCTGAGACAGGAGGACCACTTGAGCCCAAGACTGCAGTGATCTATGATCCTACTACTTCACTCCAGCCTGGGTGACAGAGTGAGACCCTGTCTGTTAAAAAAAAAAACAAAAAACAAAAACAGAGAAAGAGAAAAGATAAGCAAAGAGAAAGAGAAAAGATAAGCATCTAGTTGCATGGAAATGAGAATAACATTTTCAGGCACTTCTGCAGGCAGTCTGATGGGTAGGCCTGACATCCCTATTGACATTTCTGAGTACACTATGTAGGAGACTTCTGTATCTTATTTCTCTTCCTCCCCCAATCAGCAACACACAACAAGTATGGTGATCCCATAAGCTAAACTTGAATAGGGAAATTGCCATTAAAATTACTTATTTTAAAAAAAAACTCATCAATTTTTTAATAATTATATCAAAGTTTCATATAGTTTCATTTCAGGAGTCAGATGAAACAATAGAACTTTTTCTAACATTTTTTTTCCCTAAATTATACACATGGGCCTAGATATTATGGAGAGATCTGAGTTGTGGAAAGACAGCAATTTACTCACATTCTTTTATTTTGTAGATCACTTTTATATTATCTAAAGAAGGTGGGTTTTAAAAATATTTATTGATGATTTCTTTAAAACTCTAGGAGAAATTAGCATGACAAAGACAAAACACATATAGGGTCTCAGTTAAGTCAAAGTCAGCAAACTTCAATGCCTGAACTCATCACTGAGTTGTCATGGCAACCATTTCATTTTTCTATTGTGAGGAGACAATTAGGTGCTAACCTGGGTGTTAGCTCAAGCTGTTTGAAAGATAAGCTCCCATCTTTACAAAAGAGGTAGGGTTGTTGGATTTTCATTTTTGTCACAGGCTCTATAGAAGTCATTATTGATAATTATGCTTTATTGTTTAGTGAATATATCAAAGATGAGTTAGAGAAAATGTAGGTGGCCACCCTCGGGACAGCAGAGTCCACTCCTCCTCTCTTGAGCTGGTTTGGGAAATACTGCAGGGAAAGTGTGTGCCCTGGGAGCCTCGGGCTCTTTCCCCTTCCCACCAACTACCTTTTGTCTCTCTGTTTTCTGTGATTATGCCAGGTATGGAGCCAACGATTGGAAATGGAATCTCTATGTTTGTGTGTCCAAGATTTGCTTCTTTAACATTACCAATTAAGTCCCCTCTATTTGCCACCCGCAGTGGCAGACACTGGAGATAAAATGGTGAGCTAACCAGATATGCTTCCTGGTGGAGGAGATACAGTATTCACTCTCTCTCCTCCTCCTCCCTCTCTTTCTTTTATACACACATACACATTTAAATATGGAGGCAAAATTTGCTTTGAGAACTTGCCTAACAGAACAGTATTCCCTAGTCTTGGTTAGAAAAATCTCCTCTGAGGAAGTGAAGTTTAAGTGGCTCTCTGAAGGATGAATAGAAGATAACAAAGTGGGTGGGGTAGAAGAACATACCAGGGGAAGAAGAAAGCACAGGCAAAGGCCTTGTGGCAGAAGGAAATATAGCATATTTAGGAATATGAAAGAGGACAGAGTGACTGTGGGAGACATCATGAACTGAGAGATAGAAATTGAGTGACTTCGAATTTTGCATGGATTGCTCAAATGAGTGAGGACCACTTCATTCATCAAACATACATTGAACTTGTTTCTTGTGCCAGGTACTAAGATGCAAGAGAATTTAAGTATGGCCCATGCCTTTGATTTCATCACTTCTAGATGCTCCCTCAATCCCTGATTTCCACGATGTATTCTGGTTCTGTACCTATTACATGTTACTACTTTCCATTTTGTATTCAACCCCAGACTTACAGGATTAAATAAAATGTTGGAGATGACACAGTTAGCAAGTGGCATAAGCCTGCATCCAAATCTGGCACGCTTGATGCCAATTCTATTGCACTTGTCCTATCTTTTGCTGTGCAATATATAGAACATATGGAATGTTCAGTCTAGCAAGGGGACATGTATAAAAGAAACATGCAATGGATTAATAATCACAAATTGTGATTAGCGAAACAAAGGGAAATGATACATCCTATAAGCAAGTAAAACAAGATGGGCATAATTTAGACATGAAGGCCAGAAAAGGCTTCCCCAGGGAAGTAAGGCTGAGTCCTGAAAGACAAGTAGGAGGTAGCTAGGTAAAGATGGCTGGGAATAGCATCTAAGGCAGAAGGAACAGCATGTGCAGAGGGCTTCAGGATGGATGGAGCATGACTCATTTTAGGGATTTAGAGAAGGTGAGGGAAATCAGAAGGGGGACCCCACAGAGTTCTTTGGGCCATGTGAAGGAATTTTCTCTTCATTCAAAGTGTAGTAGAAATCTAAGGTAATGCAGCAGGACAGAGTTTTAAAGAAGAAAAGAATGAGACCTAGAAGAATCCTGCCTCTCAGGTTCTCCAAGGAGTCAAAGAACATGTCTAAGACAAACTCAGAGGAGGTCAGGGGATAGAAACCTGACTGCAGGCCCTAAAGAGTGAGTGGTCAGGAAATCTCCGATCCAACACCTTGGTAACAAGAGGAAAGGGAAATGGGTCTTGGGAAGGCAAGATCAAAGTAAGATCAAAGTCAAAGGCAAGATCAAAGATCAAACTGCTCAGCCCCTATGCCTGACCAGGCTTACTCTCTTCTCACCGCATCTGCCTTGGCAGGATGGGCATCATTTTCCTGCCCAATCTCAAAGCTCTCAATGTTCCATTTAGAGGCATGGACTGAGTGACTCCTTGTTTACACTTTTGTCAACAGTGCAACAGTGTCATTTCAATTATTTGCTCTTCTTGGGCTTCAACCATTAAACAGCAGAGAGGCATAATGAGGGGTTTTGAGTGCATAGTCACCCCAATGGGGCAATTCAACTAGCGTAGGTTCCAGTTGTTGAAGTGATTTGCCCATCAGCCAGGGACACCATATGGCACATTACCTAGGGGTGTTTCAGTGTGCCAGGCACTCAGAGTGGAGAATGGGGAAGCCTGCCTCTACCCACAACCATGTTGCCACAATGGTGGTCATGGAAAGGCAGGAAAACGAAGACATATACAGAGAAAAGTGTGGACTAGTGCAAGGTGAAAAGAGGAAGCTGAAGGGCAGGAAGGGAGCTATCATAGCTTGGTGGCAAGATAGGAAAGATGCAGACCAAAAACAACAGAGGAAGATCAGCAAATAGAAGAACCAGAACTAACAAGAGGAAAGAGAAGGCCAGGATGAATCCAATTATCAAAACCTGTCAAAGTTCATCAGAAAGCCATTGTCAATGGCTTTGAAAACTGAGATAAGAATATATTTTGTTTCTGTAAGAATCTGACATTGTCTTCTTGTCAATGACACTGTTGGATCTAGTTTTAATGAACCCTTTACAAGTTTGAATAGGCCCAAGAAATGTTTAGGACATTTGCTTTTTAACTATTTATTTGATGTCAGTGTTTTCCATTTGATTCTTCTCTTTTTATGTTCATTAGCACTATAAAGATTACTTTAAAATTTGCCAAGATTTGACAGCATTGTACTAATACAAATGGAGTATTTCACATCTTTAGAAACTGACTAAGCTCAGATTTAATGTCTTTTAAACTTACTGGTTGACTTGTAAAGTAATACAGAACTTAATGGTATATTACCCAATATATTCCCCAGTGAGGTACAAGACAGCATTTTCACATTATAAGACAGAATCTGACATAGCTTCCTACAAAAAGGCTGTTAGGTTCCATTTTCATGAATATGGCAGAGGATTAAAGGGAGCCCATGGATTCTGGCAGGAGTTGTCTCTCCAGGCTAACTATAGGGAAAATGCTGTGCCTTTGTACATTAAATCCCTGCAAGCCAGAGATCTAACATTTTTAGTGCTCTCAAGCCAGCAGGAATGGTCAATAACCTTTTAGATAACACAACAGGGCAAATAGTACCCAATATTGTCTACATAAGAGAGTAAAATTCCTACCTTGCAACTGGAGAGGGAAAACATCTTGAAATCAAAATTGAGGAGTCAGAGAGCTGCTAGGGAAGAGAAATTCTGTGTACCACTGAGTGCGTAGGCTGTGCTTGCACATGCCCAGCAAAATCAGAAGTGACTTTCCTGGAAAACTTGGCCATCAAGATGGTTTGCAGCTTATTAGGATGGCATGGGGTGGGGATGAATGCTAAACTTTTCCAAGGATGTGGTCAATTGGAATAACATCATTTCTCTGATTACAGTATTTGGGAATAGACACCGCATCAGGCTTCCAGTCAGGAGAGCAAAGCACTGAGATGCAGGTGATTTCAAGCATGAACATAATCACTTATCTCATGCTCCAGAAACTGATTTGCATTCACCTGGAGCGCTCACCTTACGTCTATACAAATAAAGAATGCAATTGTGTGTAGCCTTAATATCATGTCTGCCTGGAGATATTAAATGAGAAAACAAAACACAGTGAAACTGGGTCTTGTCCAATACTCATCTAGTTGCCTCCATTAATCATACATCATTCTATGACCAGATGCCTATCCCACACTATTTGGTGTGTGAGTATATCTCTATCTACCTATCTGGCATCTATTCAAAGTTAGGAGATCTAAGTAGAATAGCATAAAAATTATCTGCAGAGTATGAGGCCATCTAATAATGACACTTGCAATTTCTGGCACCACTATGTGACAGGGACTGTGTTACCTACTCTTTACACATGATTTCTTTTAATATTCAGAACAGTGAGGAAGTCTTTGTGGTAATGGTAAATGAGGTAGGAGTTTATATCAGACATTCTAGTAACAAACATCTTGGCATTGAATCTTGATTTTATCATTTGCCTGAAGTAAAGTAACTTACCCAAAGTCACCACTAATAATCCAAGGCCAACATTTGAAAATAGTTTTAACAACAAAAATATTTTTCCTCCCTTGAATCATCATTCTAAAGGATGCAAACTCTTGCCCCTGCCCCACAGGGGGAAAAACAGTATTTTTATTTTCCATTATATACTGGGTTCTTCCATCATCATATATTATTTCATACTTAAGCAAAAACCCTCAGGGCACTGACCTTCAGGATGGCTGAAAGAATCCCAATTGCAAACATTCTGGCTCATTCTCAGCTATGTGACATTTATTTCACAAATATGTGAGCACTCTAATTAGGAAGCAATGGATATAGGTAGTGAAGACAGAAAACATTGGTCTTAACTGCCAGGAACTTTCATTTCAATGTAATAATGTGAATGTTTCAAACATCTGTCAGATAATAATGTACCCTTCCTCTTTACTGTGACAACATTGGCTACATTTTTCATTTTTATTACATAGTCACTGAGATTTCATGAGAATTGTGAAACGTCTCCGATCCCACTGATAGACTCCATTAAAGCCTTTTTGTCCTAATTCTCAACTGTCACCTGGGAACATACAAAACTGGTTATTTCTCATAAAATAGTCAATGAGAGATGAAATAGGAGTTTGAATATACTTTCAAACAAAATGGAAGCAAACTAAACGAGATTTTTCCCCTAAAACAGGCTGTTGTTTTTCAGTGGATTTCATAAGAAGAAAATCATTTTAAAATGTATTAAGATTGAATGGAAAAAAACAGTGTAGAAAATAAATTATTTCATGTTATAGCCAATAAATAAATCAATAACACTAACATCCTTGATGAGTGGTTATTACATGCTAGTAACAGTTCTGTGTATTTATAGAGACCATTTTTTGATCCCAACAATGTTATGAGATAGCTATTACTGTTATCTCCAGTCTAGTAATGAGGAAACAGAAGCACACAAATAGAAAAAAATGCTACTAACAGACTACAAATAATAGCTTTTCTTGAAACAGTGCTAAATGCCAAGGATACTGATCATACCTAATACTTGCTTCAAGTGTAGAACTTCCTGATTTACCAGAATTTAATAAGTGGATACCCTGCAGCAGACATCGTGTTTATTTTCCAGTCATTTCTTCTGAAACATGACATAGGTGTTGTTAAAAGATCACCATGCCATTCAAAAGTTTCCCAGGAGAAAACACAGGACTTACAGGAAACCGGATTAGAGACACAACACTGAGAAACATCATCAGTGACACTTAAAATAAAAAAAAAAAAAAAAAAAAAGACAGAACCTAATAAAAATAGTGGCATGATTTTGCATATGTTTAATGGCTAAGAAACCCATGAATACTACAATAAATGTGTCACTTTACCTGATAAAAAGTGACCTAAAGTTTGTTCATGGAAGTGGATGCCATAAGGATTGCTGCATGAGGTTGATTGTACAACTATGGAAGGGTCAGGCTTGCAGGCAGATGCTTGAAGCCTGGGCGTGAGTGTGCATTTTGTGTATTCCCACATAGCTGACTTCTGCAAGAAGCAGCTTACCATGTTTACCTAGTGTTTCTTGCAGAGGAAATCACATGTTTACAAACATGAACTTTGTGGTATACTCAAATTACTCCCTAAGAGGTCAGTGTATTCAGGATGAATCTGCAGTTTCAAAGCAACTTCACAGCACACAGACTGACCTCTCCTAAGCAGACCAGGTTAAGTACTATATGAGCCATAACTTCAGAAAGGAGCACATAAAGGAATTGTCCTGACTGGGGAGATGGGGAATGGTTTATGTAGAGGATGCCTGTGGATTGAGCATCAAATATAACAAGAGTATCAGGGGCAGAACAGTGAGCAGAGGGCACTACAAGAGGAAGGAAAAGCAAGAGACAATATACACTATGAAGAAATGATTTAGTGAGCAATTATTGCATCATGAATTCTTTAGTAGTTGAATTTTTTTATTTTTTCTTTTTTGGAGATGGGGTTTCACTCTTGTCACCCAGGCTGGAATGCAGTGGGACGATCTTGACTTGCTGCAACCTCTGCCTTCTGGGTTGAAGCAATTCTCCTGCCTCGACCTCCTAAGTAGCTGGGATTACAGGCACCCACCACCCCACCTGGCTAACTTTTGTATTTTTAATAGAGATGGGGTTTCACTGTGTTGGCCAGGCTGGTATTGAACTCCTGACCTCACGTGATCTGCCTGCCGCGGCCTCCCAAAGTGCTGGGATTACAGGAGTGAGCTAAAGCACCCGGCTGAAAATTTATGTTTTAATTGATAAATACAAATTGTATAGTATGTGTACATTGTGGGATGGCTAAATAAAACTAACATACTCATTTATCTCACATATTTGTGTGTGTGTGGTAAGGAAACTTAAAAACGACTCTCTTAGCAATTTGCCAATATATAATGCATTGTTATTAATTATAGTCACCATGTTGTACAATAGATGTCTTTCTTGCCTTCCTCCTGCAACTAGAATGTAGCTCTCTGATGGCAGGAAGCATGCCTGGCATGTTCACCCTTGTGTGCACAGCACATGGGCCAGTCCAGGCACTTGTATCTCAATAAAAATGGTGAACTTAGTGTGGTTTAAGTTTGATCAGATTTAAAAAGATAAAAATACTAAAAATAAAAAAAGGTAAACCCATAAATGGATGAATGTACAAGTAGTGAAAGAGTAAGGTATTTCATTTACAGCCTATCTGAAAACTACAGCTAACAGTGATCTAACAAATATGGTCAAGCATTAATCATCCCCTAAACCAGTGGTCTGACACCATGAAATAGCTACATAACACTTTTCTGAGTAAATTAAATTTTTATATAGATAAAAGTGGTGATTCATTAGTATTCATATATTGTTACATCATTTTTATGGAATATAATAATTATTAAAGACATCAGTAGTAACAAGACGATTTCTCAAAAATGTGAAATTGGGTTTTTCCTGATAGTTCTAGTCTTATATCTATCTCTGTGCCCTGTGAATTTTTTTCTTGACTTCCTTTTGTTTTTTTGAACAGTACTGAGAATACTCTGGTTTTCAAAGTTGAAGACCCATGATTATTACAATTATTAACAGATTTCCTTGAAATCTCTCAGAATATTCTTCAATTAAACTGATTCTGAAACCTACACAGGAGAGTTGGCAAATTCCAGAGTTGGTTGTAAGCACTATCTAACAAGTTTTCAAATTTCTTAACATCCTAGCAATTGAAAATTAGACAAGGAACTCAGCTAGCACTAAATGTTACACGATTTTATAAAGCAATAAAGGCATCTTGTGATATGCATTCATATTTTATCCAACAATGAACTATTTAGGCCAAGATGAAAAAATGGCATGGAACATGTTCAAATGAGCTTTGCCTGGCATTGAATTCACCACATCCTTGTGCACTTTAATAGAATATTTGCTGGTACATTTCCATGTGACTAGACATGAATAGGAGTGGATTTTATAAACACTATTACTTAATAACCTATACATGAAAAGTTTAAAATATATAAAGTGGTTACAGTGAAAGCCTTATCCTTAGATCTAAACCCCAGAAACCTAAGCTGGCAGAAAATAAATATTAACAGATAACATTTCATGGGTACTTATTTTCTAGGCACTCTGCTAAACAATTTTCATATATTAATTGGTTACTTATTCACAGTGACCATATGAGGTACAAACTATTATGGTTTTCATTTTATAATTCATAAAACTGAAAGACAAACTAGTTATAGCTGTGGGTTCTGCACATCAGACTTTTAAGAAAAGTATTTTAGAATACTGTACATAACTTTTGCTGGCTTGACTCTGAATTCCTTACCTAAATGCTGTTCAGTTATTTGACCTAAATTATACATAGTGGGTGTTAGAAAAGCCACATTTAACCCAGGAGTGGAAATTCATTTAGGTTGATGATAAAATTAAGGCTTAATTATCAAGATATGGAAATCTCAAGGCAGTCTATGTCCTCCCCGCAGGCCTGGGCCATCCATAATTGGCCAGGGTGGGGAAGCTCTTTTTTTCCTTTGGGGATGATCCTCCAACATCCAAAATCAGATTAGGCTCAGTTGGAGGACAGCCCTTGGTCTCAGTAAAACTCTGTACATAAGAACTCCTTTACCTCTACTTTGACAAAAGGAACTGATAATGATCATCAACTGTTACATTTCTAAAGAAATTACAAATAAAGGAAAGTGATGTGAAATGCCTAACCTTAAACAGGGTAGTGCATTATACAATAAGCATCAGGTAAAATAAGAACAACCATGGGACTAAATATAGATATGCCATAATTTACTAAAGAATGTACTAAAGAAGATGGTGGGATGAAAACTCATAACTTCAATGTGAGCCTCCCACCTCACCAAAAGCCAAAGAGTCAGCAGCCTAGCTTTCCTTCTAGGCTTAGTGGGAGCAGGTCCCTGTGGACCAATACCTCTGAGATCTCTGTAGACTAAAGCCTTCTTAGCCTTCATACCTACATATAGTCATGTGCCACATAATGAGATTTTGATAAACAGATTATATTTAATCATGCTTATTCTATTTATTTATTTATTTTATTTATTTATTTATTTATTTGATGGAGTCTCACTCTGTCCCCCAGGCTGGAGTGCAGTGGTGCGATCTCTGCTCTCTGCGACCTCTGCCTCCCAGCGACCTCTGCCTCCCAGCTTCAAGTGATTCTCCTGGCTCAGCCTCCTGAGTAGCTGGGATGACAGGCACCTGCCACCACACCTGGTGGGGTTTTGCCATGTTGGCCAGACTGATCTTGAACGCCTGACCTCAGGTGATCTGCCCACTTCGGCCTCCGAAGTGCTGGGATTACAGGCGTGAGCCACCGCACCTGGCCTATGTTTAACTATATTTAGATACATAAATACCATTGTATTACAATTGCCTACAGTATTCAGTATTGTAACATGCTGTAAAGGTTTGTCGCCTAGGAGCAGTAGGTTAAACTGTATAGCCTAGGACTTTAGTAGACTATGCCACCAAGATTTGTGTCAGTACACTGTGATGGTTGCACAATAACAAATTACCTAATAATGCATTTCTTAGAGCACATTTCTGTCATTAAGTGATGCATGACTATACTTATTTAAAAATACAGCTGAGTGTGGTGGCTCACACCTGTAATCCCAGCACTTTGGGAGGCTGAGGTGGGAGGATCACGAGGTCAGGAGATCAAGACCATCCTGGCTAACATGGTGAAATCCCATCTCTACTAAAAATTATCTGGGCATGGTGGCACATGCCTGTAGTCACAGCTACTCGGGAGGCTGAGGCAGGAGAATCACTTGAACCCACGAGGCAGAGGTTGCAGTGAGGTAAGATCACGCCACTGCACTCCAACCTGGGCAACAAAGGGAGACTTTGTCTTTAAAAAAAAAAAAAAAAAGCTTACTTATTACTTATTAATACTATGTGCTAGGCCCTATACTAAACACTTTATAAATACTTATTTAATCATCAAGCAAGACAGCATTATGAGGTAGGTACTATTATACCCATTTTGCAGATGCAGAAGCTGAGGGGAAGTAATTTGTCCAAGGTCACAAAACTAGTAAATGGGAATTGAACTCAGGCTAGCTCTAGAATCTGCATTCTTATCCACTATGTGTGTAAAGAGGATTCAGGGGTGGAGGGGCTGTAGAAAAAATATGATTAGTGAAGTTTATTTCAGTTTTCACATACTTTTGAAGTGTTACCAGAGACTGTAAAAATCTTTTAAATGAAAATCAAAGTCTTGATGGTCTCTAGTTTAAAAATGATGAAAATAAACACTTCATAAAATAAACATCATAGTTGTAGAGTCCTAAATTGCTAAGTAGTCTTTGTTAAGAAAAAGTATGTATGTTGCTGGGTACATATTCAAAAGACAACAAGTTGTTCTACCAAAAGACGCACGTCCTCACGGCACTATTCACAATAGCAAAGACATCGAATCAACCTAGGTGCATCAACAGTGGGCTGGATAAAGAAAATGTGGTACATCTATACCATGAAATGTTATGCATCCATAAAAAAGAACAAAACCATGTCGAACTGTAGGCCATTTTTCTAGGTGAATTAACACAAACAGAAAATCACATCCCTCATATGTTCTTACTTATAAGGAAGAGCTACACATTGGGTAGTCATGGAGATAAAGATGACAATAGACACTATGGGCTAATAGAAGAGTGAGTAAGGGTTGAAAAACTAAACATTAGGTACTATCTTCAGTACCTGGGTGTGGAATTATTCATACCCCAAACCTCAGCATCACGTAACATACCCACGTAACAAACCTGCACATGTACCCCTGAATCTAAAAGTTGAAAAAAGAAAACATATGTATACACACATACAAATATACATAAGCATATATGCTTGTATAATTTATAATTACATTAATAAGTCTGAATAATTTCATAAACTGCAAAATTCACTCATGAGCAGAAAAACAGAAACAAAACTTAAGATCTCATAGGTTTGTTGACATCCCTTTCCTTTTTGATCTAAGCCATGGTTTGCAAATCTCTCATAAGTACAGTGATAGTGGTGACAAAAATTGCCTATGTCTATAACGCCCTATGACCATGTTAAGCCTTTCTTGAACAGTGTAGGCTGGCAGGGTGGAATGACATTAAAAGTCTAAGGGTATGCTAGTAGGGAAATATGAGCTTTAAAAATATGAACTAATTCACACTTTAAAGAGTCATTAATTCAACATTGTTTTGTCTTTCTGTGTTACATTCATTATGTATTATAGTCAGCAGCTGGTAGCTCCTTTTAACCATTTGGAGACATCCATATTCAAATTAATGTTGGCTAGAAAACTGTATTTTTTTCCAGCCAAGATGGCAAAGTTGTCTTTGATTTCAGTATGGCCTCAGTTTGAAGAATTAAGATCAGAAATGTCCAGGCAGCCAATATGTCTAATGGAAATTTTTGTATATTTAGAGATAGGCTGTTTAACCAGTGAGTTATAGGTAGGAAAAAGGTGTCCATTAGACAAACACATGAGCCTATCCATTGTATATTTATCAAGTGCCTTCTTCGCAGACATAATAATGTCCCAGAGAGACAGATCCTGCCTTCATGGAACTTAAGACCTAGCCGGAAAATGGGCAGAAAAATGATCAAGGTACTGAGTGCATAATTGCAATGGAGACAAATGATCTAAAGAAGTCCTTTGAGAGCGTATCAGTAAAGAAGCTGGCCTAGACTTGAGGCTGTGAGGGCAGCCTAGGATGGGTGTGCTAAGAAGAAAAGAAGGAAAATTCCATACATAGGAAAACAAAAATAAAGAAAAGGGGCATGGAGAAAAGTTATTCGAATGAGTACAGTTCATTCACGAACTAAAGGACGGCACAAATGGATGGGACCCTGGGAAGGCAAGACAGGGGATCAGGGGGTCAGGGAGGTGGGAAGTAGTGGACAATTAGTCTAAAAAAGTAGACCAGCACAAACCATGAGGGGCCTTGTGAACTCCCTTAAGAATGGGGGTTTTATCATCAATCAATAAGAAGGCATAGTTGTGGAATACCATAGTTGAATCCATTGTCAAGGAACTAGGCTTTCCATGGACAGAAAAGGCAATGGTTGCTGGTTGTTCCATTTAAATAGCCTTTAGAAGTCATGCAAAACACAAGTATGACTGAACACATTGTGGGTGGGGTGGTGGAGTCCTAGATCATGGTAGGGCATATTGTAGACAACTAGACCAAGGCAAGTTGCCTATAGCTTTACTCTTATGGATCACACACTTCCCTACATTCTTCTACCATCAATTGTTCATATTTACACTGGACAGCAAGCAATTAGTTGATCTGATTTCTTGAGGAAACAATAGGAGACAAGGACAGAAATAGGGGCACCATCCAAACTGCAAATAACCCAACTCCAGAATACAATTTTGCATCTCATTAGTAATTTGACAATATAAAGAGTGGACAAGCCAACATCACTAGGTCTTGTTCACTTGTCATTTGTGGTTTGTAAGACAGAATTAAACAAGAAGGTCTTAGTTTTCAGAGAAACTCAACTCACTATTCAGCAAATAGGGAAAAGGTATGCCTTTCTAGAAAACAATATAAAAAGAGACATATATTAAGATAAAGACTTCTCAAAAGGCCTCAGAATCTCAATGTAGGAAGAAATCATGGAGCGTGAACCTTCTTTTACATGTATGAAAGATAAAACTTAACTACACCTTAATCAAGATTACAGATTTCTGTGGTCTTCATGTCTTTATATTTAGCTGACACTCTGATTAGAAGTCCTTCAACTATGATTAAAGGTCTACTCTGAACTTTAATATAGGAGACTTCTCTAGGGCAAGACTACTCTGAACTTTAATATAGGAGACTTCTCTAGTGCATGGATTGACCCAACAGCATTCAATCAATTAATATATGCATATACTCTCCAATAACTGTGCAGAGTCATTGTCCTTTCCTTTATTTATCAAAATTCCTGAAGATTGCTTTTTATCTTAGCCATAGTCATTCTTGACATCACTTTAAGTGTTCAGACTCCCTCTGCAGTCATTTTATTTGTAATAGTGCCTTGTGTGTTGTGTCTCCTAGCTCTACATACAAACTACCACGCTTACAATCTCCATGAACCTAAGTGCGTCAGTGGCGCTGGGGATGCTATACATGCCGAAAGTATACATCATCATTTTCCACCCTGAACTCAATGTCCAGAAACGGAAGCGAAGCTTCAAGGCGGTAGTCACAGCAGCCACCATGTCATCGAGGCTGTCACACAAACCCAGTGACAGACCCAACGGTGAGGCAAAGACAGAGCTCTGTGAAAATGTAGACCCAAACAGTAAGTAACTCTCCTTTTCTTTCATCTTCCCATCCTGCATCAAGAAACTTTAGAAGAGGTGGGGTGGGTGTGCTTGCCTCTCTGGAGAACTACTGTGATCGTTCTTGTCATATGGACTGGGTTGCCTTGGTGAATGCTAACTTCTGCTCTTTTGAGTTTGACTCATTCCTGCCACCATTTTCTTTTTGTTCCTTGTTGGAAAGGAGCTTTTGGAGGCTCTGCTTCAGAAGTGTGAAGCCTCCCCCTTCCCTTGCTTCTTGTCCTCTGGTACTGAAACCTCCAACTGACAAATGCACCTGTCAGGTTGTTCTTTCTTGCACCCTTCCTGTTAAGGCAACAACTTTTTTGTCAGGGAAACTTCCATACCTAATGAACTGTACTGGTAGGAATAAAACTGGAATAAATTAGAATTTTGGAAGCATAACTTTTTTCCTTTAGCATGTGAATGTTGAAAAAGTTATTTTTTACTCATCAGGTCTTCTAGAAACATATAAAAATTGGAAAAAGTTGTCAAACTTTAATCCAAGTACACAGGACCAGATACTACCATGACAATGGCATCGTCCTGTGGGAAAAACAGTGTCTACTATACCACTGGAGAAGAGTTTTATTCTATGCAAGACAAACCTTAGGGAAGAAATTAAGGAAAAAAACGTTGGATTTAAGATGCTATTATATGGCATATCTGCAAAACTCTAGGACCCTTTAGTCATGCCTGCAAATGTCCCCAGGTAAAATGGGCATATAGCTATCACTTTGTAAATAACACAAGACCAGCTCAAAGGTTAAATGCTTAGAATTCCTAATTGCTAGCTTTACTAACAATATGGTGGTAAGAGTACATTTCAGATTTAAAATACTAGTTTTAAGATTTGTTTTCCAGGAATATTTTGGCTAGTTGCATGTAGAATGAGGCAGATTCAAATATTTGTGATACTTATTCTGTTTAAGGCAGAAGGGATTTCAGGTTATCCATTAAGTCATTCATGACATATTATATTTCAGTTAGAAGCTGATCTTGTTGTCAAAGGCTTAATGCCAAACAGAAGGAAGTCTCAATTTTAAATACTCTTGAGGAAATCCTTTTTGCTCTGGAAATAAGAGAGATATCTTTAATAAAAACCAAGAAGCCAACTGGGTTTGCTCCTGACAAACACTACACACAAAGAACTGTGATTTTGACCTATCTCTATTTACGAATAGTTGAGTGAAAGTTGTGAAATATTTTGAATATATGTAGACAAAGTAACATGGTTAATTAACAACATTGTGGGCCCCACTTTGACTTTTGACAGAAAACATCCTAGGACAAGGCTAAAGGAACATACTGAGAGAAGGGAGGAACAGAATGAATGATAGGCTGTGTTGTGTCTCCAGAGCAAGTGGCCAGTTGAGAGGAGGGCAAGTAGATGGTGACTTGCTGTGTCATTCAGTGTGATGTAGGAAGAGGCTTTGGGTTGAGACATACCTGGGTTCAAATCTAAACCACTCCATTTACTAGCCATGTGGCTTTAAGAATCACTGAGCTTTTTCTAAAACTCAATAAAATTATGTAAAAGAGAGAATGACTTTGTCATAAGTGTGTCATAAAATATGATATCTAGAAAATACTATATCAGCTAAATGTCAGTGTCCTTCCATTCCTGAAGAGGCAAAAAGCTTTGCTTAGAAATAAATTTCAGCATAATTTATTAAGATATAGTAGATATAAAGGTGCAGTTAAATGTACATTAAACATCACAGGGTAGATAAAACTAAATCCTCAAAAGAAGAATATACGGCTGGGTGCGGTGGCTCACTCCTATAATCCCAGCATTTTGGGAGGACAAGGTGGGTGGATCACCTGAGGTCGGGAGTTCGAGACTAGCCTGACCAACATGAAGAAACCCCATCTCTACTAAAAATACAAAATTAGCCAGGCGTGGTTGTGCCTGTCTGTAATCCCAGCTACTCAGGAGGCTGAGGCAGGGGAATCGCTTGAACCCAGGAGGCACAGGTTGCAGTGAGCTGAGATTGCACCATTGCACTCCAGCCTGGGCAACAAGAGAAAAACTCTGTCTCAAAAAAAAAAAAAAAAAGAAGAAGAAGAAGAATTTACATGAACATATGTGTGCATTTATTATACCTATACCTGTGTTGTTAAATATATATATGTATATTTATAATTAGTGGCTTTTAATTATAGTTTGTTTTGTCAAATTTGCATTCCATAAAACCTTTATCTTGCAAATATTCCAATAACAGCTTTATTTTTGTACACACACACACAATTTAACTAGATACTGTTCAAAGTCAATAAACAGCAAACATAATTGGAAGTAATTGTACTGGGGAAAAAAAGATGAAATTAGAAGTTTTGAGTTTAGACAATTCGATACTATGCTATTTAAGAATTATTAACTTTCAAAAAACATTACTACTGTTGCTATTTAATGATAAGGTGAAATCCTTGTTGAGGCTTTTTTTGGGTATGACATTGGTTGTTAAAATGCTAACACTGACATTAATGCTAATGCTAGCATAAAATACTCTTTGAAATAGGCATTATGCGGAATGCTTTGTGTGGAATATCTCACTTACTCCTCACAGTACATCTATAGAATAGATGTTGTTATTCTCATTTTACTGAGGAAACCTTGGCTTCACAAGATTAAGTAACATTACCAAAGCCACACATGTAGTTAACAGCAGAAGTTGGACTAAAACCCAGGTCTGACTCTTCAGCCCACGCTTGTTCCTCTTTGCTCCTCTGTTTCTTAGAATATGAATGGCATGTCAAAATTCCAATGCAGGAATTACTCTTTTGGTTTCGTTATTTTGGTTATATAGTTTGTATATGCTGAATATAATGATGTTTGGTGAGAGATTCTTTAAACATACTGTAACGTATTATTGCTTGTTTTGTCTACAAAAACAGGAGTAACCTGAGCTCAAAGAAGGCTGCCCAGGTAGAGGCCTCATCTAATTAATTCAAAAATTATATTCCAGTGATTCCATTTGGAATTCATTTGGTATCTCTTTCCTTGAAAAAGTTTCATAGGGTTTTTGTTGTTGCTCTAAGTGTCTACATAGAGCCAAGGTAAACAATACAGAAAAATAAAATGAAATAGAGCCTTTTTCTCACTACCAGTTGGAAAGATTTTTTTAATTGCTTTAGCTCTTTTGTTATTGTGTAGACACACCCTAAAACACCATGAAAACTTAACTAGATATTTGCTAAACCATAGGAGGAGATTCATGTACCTCCAAACATTGGGGTTTCTGATGACCCAGCTCTGAAAGGTCCCAAAAAAGAATCCAAAGAGCTTATCTGCACAAAAGCTGTCCACTAGTACTTTCTGCAGTGATGGTCATGTTTTGTGTGTGTGATGTCTAATAGAGTAAGCAAATATGGCTACTCAACTGAAGAAATACATTTGTTATTTTACTTAGTTTTTAATTAAGTAAACTTTATTTACATTGCATTTAAATTTAAACACACTTGTGGCTGTGGCTACTGTATTGGACAGTGTAGCTCTAGAAATTGACAAGGATTTTATTCTAGGAAACTCAAGTTGAGTCCACATTGGATATAGCTTCCAAAGTTTTAGCGTTGATACTGATCTAGGACAAAGTCAACTCAAAGAAATAAAACATTTGAGATAAGACAAACATACAAACAAATAGTCATTTAAAATGATCTCAAAATGAGCCACTAATAGGGAAAAAGTAACATCATAGACAGCAATGACGTTTGAAAAACCAGTCCCCAGCAAGGCAAAAATACATGTAATAGGAAAAGAACAATAGTGAAAAATTCAATTAATAAAAACAGACATGACTATGCTATGCTAGGTAACATTATAATATTCTGTTTAATGCCAAATATAGCTAAAATTATCTCCAGTATCTTAACTGTCATAACAGAGACAAATGACATTATTTTCTGAATTTAAGCTGACTGGTTAAAAACAAACAAAAACAGCTCATGCACTTGAAAAAGGAATTTGTCTCTCCAATAGGCAAATTCTGTACAATTTTTTTCTGAGGGAGGATGTCTGAGAGGAAGCAGAGTTTATACTATGAGCTGCAAAGTAAATAGTAGAACAGAAATGTCCTCTTATTCATTGTTGCTCTAAACACTTAGTCTCGATGTATTTCAATCTTCAGTGTTTTCATTTTTAACAGCTCTGCTCCATCACTGCAGTTTGCCATCTGGTGCATGCATGCTTCTACTCATCCAACTCCACACTGCAACTACATGTCTACATAAAATGAATTTGCTTGCTGTCTTAATATAGGAAGACATTTATACTACCATATTTTTTTCCTGAAGAAATACAATTATCCTGTTAGTTTGCTTCCTTAGCTAACAGTCCATTGTATGAAAGAAAAACTCCATTATGTGTGGAATAAACGAAAAGTAAATCTCAAAATTTCAATGTATCTGTGCACTGCTGGCATATTAGATATTCAGAGTTGGGCCAATTCTTGCTGGTCTCTGCACTTAGATTGAAAAACAGCAAGCTCAGAGGGCATAGGGCTGTAGCTCAGCTACTTACTGAATTTTATTTATGCAAATAAGACTTCCATTGCTAAAAGTTTAAAAGAACCTGGCCTCATTTGGATAGCTGTATATATGGCCAAGATGATGCCTTCTCACATTCCTGTCTAAGAAGAAGGGTACCTCACACTGTTTCTCCCACCTGCATCCTGAATTTGGAATGTTTCCCTGCACTCTCTGCAGTTCACTTGGCAGATGTATGTTCATGGCAAACTTGTAGATGCCAGATAAACAAGATGCCATGGTTGTGCTTGGGCTATGGCTTACTGATGGCCACGACGATCCTTTTCAAGTTGGATGGATAATATTAACTAAGAGGCAGCATGGCTTTATTGGGATGGGTGGATAAGAACCACAGCCTTCTTCACCTGGACTGGTATCAACCAGAAGATATTCTGTAAATTGTCTTTGGCTTTCATGCTTTCTTTGGTAAAAGATCACAGTGCATAGTGAAGAGAGGCCTGGCCCTAAGCTACCTTTCTTTTAAGCTACCATCCATTTTCTAAGCTAATGCCCTGCAAGCAGTGCAGAGAAATACTTCAGGGATCTTAGCTAGATACAGAGAGTTTATTCTGGCAGGTCAGCAGCAACTAGAGATGGCAGGCAGGTGGACAGTGAGGGACAACCCTTTTTTTGGATGTGGAGATGTATGACTGATGAACTCACTCTGGGATAGAAAATGGACATAGACTACATAAAAGACTGGTTTAAGCCAATTAACACGTTGTATGATGAAGCACATGTTAGAAGAATAACAATTTGCACCTAAAATACGAAATAAGGTATGGAATTGTATTCTGATGGTGTTTTTCTTGTGCTACCATTTTTGCATCTACAATAAGGAAAATACATAAATAACAACTTGTGCTGTTCTCAACAAAATAAATTTATTACATAAAATAGGACTGTCAACATAAGGAGGTATGTTATTTAAAAAAAAAAAGAAAAGAAAGAAAACTCAGGCTGCTGGAAAATGGATGTGGGCACCAAAACTCTACACAAATAATGGTTCCTAGAAAATTCTAGAACACACTTCTGTGCTGTGTTAATTTGTTATGGTTCTTGTTTTGTTTTGCTTCTCCATTTGTTTGGATCCCTAACATTCTCAACATTATGTTACTTGTTTCATCCTCTTGGACTAACCACACAGGCTGGACAGCATGACTGGACTAGGCTGAGAAAAAAGGGCTGGCAAGAAGAAGAAAATAATGCTCTAAGCAGATAGATAAATTATGTTTGGGCTGGTTCCCTCAGCTGTTTCAACTCAAGCAAGTAAAACCCAACTCCCTTAACTCAAGAGGCACCAGTACTCCCATGTTCAGAGGTACCTGAATTGAGGTGACCTGGTCTACCAAAGGCTACTGAACCCACCAAAAGTGTGGGCATAATGTGTATGGTCTCTATCGCAGCCTTTTCCCAAAAGGAAAATAATAATAATAAAACATAATATCATGTGCACATTTATTTTATACATACCTATATATTTACTTTTCCTGTAGACTGTATACCACCAGTAAGAAAGAGTGTACAAAAGTCTGTTACTTGGTACACTATCCCACCAACAGTATAGCTTTTGACTGCTTTCCAAAAGGTAAGAAAACAATCTAATTCTTATTTATTTATGTGTTCTTGTCTCCAATGAGAATTAGAAATGTTTCCATGGAAACTGTGCATGATTACCTGAAAATATATCTATAGGAAGAAATAAATTTTCAAATATGATCTATTTGATAAGCTTAGTGCCAGCAGCTGCCATTGGTCGTATGCCTGCTTAATTTTCTAAAGAATGTGTTTATGAGTATGTACACATTTGTCTTCCTGAACAGCTAGCCAGTAATTGCAGAGAGCTGTTGCTGGTCATTCTGACACATGCTCTACTTTAAAACTACCAGTGGTGAGAAACTATTTCACAGTATTTCTCAATGTATGATTTCCTACTGTGGGTTTAGAAGGCAATGTGGAAAACCTACAAGGAAAGAAGAGGGATGCTTAGTAAAGGCAAACCTAGTGAAATATTTATTCTGGTTTATTTTTACTAAATACCTTCAAAGAAGTGTACACTAAAATGTATCCATTGAAATAGCAACAGATGGCCTTACCATCTTTAACTCAAAATTGTCTTGGTTCCTTCTCTGCAGAAAATAAATGGGTTTACTGGCTGAATTGTCTTGGTTCTTTCTCTGCAGAAAATAAATAGATTTACTGGTAGGGATTGATAATATGTTGATGATTTGTGGCTCATAGTTCTGCCTTTGAGAAATACTGAACCAACTTTACTCATCACACAAAAGCAGAGAAAGGGTCAGTGAAAGACCACAAAGATCTAAAGATTAATTTCAATGCTGGTTATACCCAAGAATACCAATAAATGCCAAAGGTATTCAAATAAATAGATTAGATAAAATGATGATGTATTGTGTGATGTGTGAACCAACCACATGAGTGGGGTGGCATAAGAATAATAATGGATTCACCACAGAGGCTTTTGTATTGCTTTAGGCTCTCACTAAAGAAAATGTACTTTGAAAGAATATTATCATCTCCCTGTTTCAGCCTAAGCAACATTACAAGACAGTGGAAAACAACACTTGCTATGGCAAGCATCCTCATCCATGTGGAACAGGGCATTCCAAACTATGGAAAAATATACAGTAGAGAACATGGAATACGTTATTCAAGTCATGTGGTGGCTTTGAGTAAAACATTATCTTTTGAGTTTCTCTGAACCTCCTATTGTATTTATAAAATAGAGAGACCTCTCTCTAGAGAGATCCCAAGAGAGTAAGCAGTGAGGTCATACCTCGGGAGGGGGAAACTATTGCTTAATAATGTAGACTGGTCTTTCTCTTTCCTACATTGATAACATGGGACTTAGATAACTGTTCTGTTTCTTCCCATCTTTGTTTGTGTAATAGAATTCTGAATACGAATAATGTCTTGTGCTCTCTCTCTCTTTTATCCATTTATTGTAAGACAGGATAAGAGTACTTCCAAAGAGTAATGACATTTTCTGTTGACTTTAGACGGATGCCAGCAACTCGGTCTTTAATTTAGGGTATATTGTTCACATAGTTATTTCCTTTTTCCCTATCAACATGATCTGTCCTAGTTTTTAAATAGGGCATTCTTTCCTCCCAGTGAATATGTAACTGTATTCCAGTGAGATTTCAAGTTTTTTGTAGTACAAGTGCTTGTCAAAACACTGGAGCTCATCACTTTAATAGTCTTTTTACATGAGACTGACTAAGAATAAATAAGAAGGAATTTTCCCTGGGTAAAAATGATAGATTTAATCTCAATCCATTAAAAATTCTCTTTTGTTCCTTTCTAAGTTGATGCCTTTGGTTTTAAAGGGAGTCAGATGAAAATATTTTAAGTCAACCTTTTGGTTAAAAAATACTTTTAGGATATACAGGTTAGAAGTAAATTCGAACTTGTAGCAAGAACTGTCTTACTTCAAAGATTTTGATGAGAGAACGTAGTGAGGTCACATCATGAGAGGGGAATAATTGCTTAATAATGTGGACTGGTCTGTTTCCTATGTCAATATCATAGGGCTTTTATTAGTTTATTATTCTATTTCTTCCCGTCTTTGTTTTCACAATGGTATTCCAAATGCAAATAATAATTATATTTGGTCTCCTTTTCTGACCAACTTAAATGTGACTTTAAATATTAAAGATAAACATTTTGTAGAACTGCTTCAAAATAATTGGGGATATAAGTTGGTTTAAGTTACATTAATTCAAAGAACAGGTGATTTACTTTTTCGGGTCAATAATGAGACTAGTAAACTTGGAAGGTCAATGAAAGAAGTCTCTTAATGTTATGTGTTCAAATCCATTTCTAAGTGATTGCTTTCAGGGAGACAAGACAGTAAAAAGAAAATCACAGATTCAAGAGTAAACTTTCACACTACTGTGCTATTAAAACTTAGTGTCAGGCATCATGTCCCAACAAAGCCTAGTAAAATGTTTACAGCAAAGTAAATATTTGCTTATAGGGATTTGAATGAAGTAGGTTCAAATTCAGATGGAACATAACCTAAGCCTGGTTTGAAAATGCATTCCATAACATGCCTCTGTTTAAAAGCACTCTCATGTGACGACCACTCTCAGCCAGGCATCTGCAGAATCAATACTTTCTGCATTCTTTACATGAATATTTATAAATTTTAAAACTCTGCAAAGTGTTATCAACCTAATGACATTTATGTCGAAATGCAATTAGGCACAAAATGAAAAGCACAATTAATCTGGCATCATCACCATGGCTGGGTCAAGAAATAAGTTTTGTTAGGAGGTAAATTTTCACACCCTAGGATGATATTTTGATAAAAAAAAACTTTGAGAGTATAATTAAGCCTTGCGAGAATGCCAAACACATGAATTATATTATTGACATCCATTATTGAATATTATAAAAATCATATTTGATTTCTTGTAATGAATGGGATTATTTGGCAATTTTAAGCTTTTTGCAACTGTGCAGTGCAAGTTTTCGTATCATGTTGGGACTCTCCCTCTTTAACATTCAATGTGATATCTCTGCTGTAACTGGAGACCACCTCCTCTTAAAACTCACTTTGAAACACTATAAATATAGCAAAGAATATATGTTATCTGACCTTTGACACTGAATCACCTTGGGAGTAAATGCAGCTATAAATCATTTTGGCATATTTCTCTCTGCCTATGAGGTCTGTGAGACACCATCATTTTTCTCGCCAAGGTTTGATATCTCAGCATATCTTCAAAATCCAATTAATATCTGCCGTCTTGGTTCTGCAACTTGACTTCAACTTAAAGAACTGGATGAATGTTTACATGGCTGCTACTTCTCTCATTTCTTGCATAAAGAAATGTACACATCATACCTCAAAGTCACAAAAACTATGTCAAGTTTTACATATATGCATTGCACTGCCCTATCTGGTCAAGATTTTTTACTGAGTATCCTTAAATTGGGTCAATCAAAGAAATATTTGCCAAGCACCTCTCCTCCGGGCCATCCATGAACTGCCTTCAGGGAGCTCAGATCTGATGGAAGACTCAAAGGTAAGTAATAGACTCAAAGGTGACAAGGGCTCTTCCTCAAGGTATATACCAAGTGCCATCAAGCTGCAGGTGGAGGCCATCACCCAGGATGTTTTGCTTGAGCTGCTCTTAAAAGATAAAGGGCTCCAGGCAGCCATAAAAGGAAAGGCACTCAAGGTAGGGGAAAGTATACACAAAGAACCTGGAGTACAAGAGAATATGACACGTTCTGGTACTAGAAAGCAGTTCTGTGAGGCTATTGGGTTTTGAGGCAGATAGTTTTAGGGAATGAAATGCAGGAAGCAGCCTGAGGATAGTAATACTGAATATCCTTTGTCTTTGTGCCTTTAAGTACAAGGGCTAGTAAGTACTAGGCTGTGAGAAAATGTGCTTGGAATGAGTGGAGCACAATACCTCCCATACCAAAGGCTCCTACTACCTAGAACTCGGTAGATGCACAGTAAACATTTATAAGTGAATATTTATTAGCAATAATAAATATTATAAAAGCAATAATAAGTCTACAGCCTCAGTAGGTGGAATTATATTCTTCCAGATAAAGCCTCTAAGGTCACAAAGACCACCTAAAAAGACAATGTACAAACCTGATGTCACAGGTTTCAAAAATATGGTGTAGTTCTAAGGTACCGTTCCTAATGGGTGTCAGTGCTACATCTGGGCTTGTGTAATTAATTTCTTTTGTTGTGCTAAACCCATTTATAAACCAACAAAGTTTTATGCCTATATTATTTCACGGACCACAGATATCTATACTTTCAAAGTGCACATGAACTTGAAAGATTCCATTGGACATGGATCCTAAGGATTTGCTTTAAATAGTTACAGATTCTAATTTGGTAAACACAAAAACATAAGCAATCAAATTGGTGGTTTTCTGACTATTGAGTGCATTTCCTTAGAGACTGTCATTCAGGACAGATTTTGCCTTTTATCATGATACCAAATATCATTTGCATTGAAAAAACACTGTGTATCCTAAACCAAGGTCAGTTAATCTCCAAAATCTTTCTTTCCCCCAATTATTGTGAATGAGCATCTTCCCAATATTCAAGAGAGGTGACCCTTGTGACTTGTTTCCATCTACTAAAGATGTATCTCAACTTTGCAGATTTTTTTTTTTTTGGCTGTACAGTGGAACTTGGATTACACTTTAAATTAACTTTCTCTAGGAATCAAAGGTAATCATTATTTCTCTCTATGATCTACATGACTATTCTCATTTTTTTTCAAGTTGAAGATTAGTTTTCAATTCCCTTTATATCTCTGCCCTCTTTCATAGTAACCTCTGAGGACCTCAGCTTGCACAAAGAGGATTGAGATAACATTTCCAAAGCTTGTTCTTCCTGAGCTGACCCAACACTTAGAAAAACGTGACATGGATCAGCAACCCCATTTTCTGTAAGTGTTGGTCCAAATATTGGTCATAACCTTGCATGTGCTATCCTTTTCTCTGGCCAAGAATAAGAAAAACTGGACTGGAAGTCCCACCCTGACTCTGATACTTGGGGTAGCAAAAGCTTCATCACTTAATGGATCTCTGATTGTGGATAAGTTCCAATCCTCAGTTTCCTCTTTAATAAGATGGAAATAAGCTAATCTTGATGAGGTACCATGGAGGTCGCATGAGATTCTGTATATGAAAGCTCTCTTTTGTAAGGGCTGACTGTGCATATGTCAGGGTACATAAGATAACATTGTTGGTCTCTGCTCATCTGTGTTACTTTATTTTATTTTGTTTATTTATTTGAGATGGAGTCTCACCCTGTCACCCAGCCTGGAGTGCAGTGGCGCAATCTCGGCTCACTGCAATGTCCGCCTCCCAGGTTCAAGTGATTCACCTGCCTCAGTCTCCCAAGTAGCTGGGATTACAGGCATGTACCACCACGCCTGGCTAATTTTTGTATTTTTAGTAGAGAGGGGGTTTCATCATGTTGGTCAGGCTGGTCTCGAACTCCTGACCTTGTGATCCACCCACCTCGGCCTCCCAAAGTGCTGGGATTACAGGTATGAGATACCTTGCCCGGCCCTGTGTTTTATTTTAATTGGCTTTCTTTTTTCTTTTTTGTTTTAGTTACATTTTTGTCTATCATAAACTCTTAGAGTTGGAAGTCATGATATCTAGGATTGCCAATAAAGTCAGGCAAGCTTTTCTCTAGGTACAACAATTTCTATTTTCAAGACAGTTTACTGTGGCCTTTTGATGCATCATTAGTAGTCTTTTGGCTTGGTGAAATTGAGAGAGAAGGCTATCAGTCACTCAGCAAAGCTGCTGTGGGCCAGATAGGCTCATACCACCTGATATATGAACCACTACCTGTGATTAACTTTGACAGGTAGCTCCTGGCCAGCTGGCAAGCTGAAGAGCATTTTAAGTACAAATAATAGTTCTGGGGTATGTCTTGAGTGATAGAATAATGACTGAGTGGAACAGATTCCCTTAATTTTAGCTCGTGAAAACACATTTGGTTTCCTTTAGAAGCTAGGATCCTACCAAAAAAATCAATTAACAAAACTTCTCAGAGATCTTCCTTGATACTTTGAAGTTTGGCTTTTATTGCACTTATATTAAATATGGGACCACCCTGGAGGGCCAGACTCCTTCATCTCAGTCTTCAAAGGGCCTATCATGATCATTTGCAGCAATTTAATAATAATATGCTGAAATTTTCATCATATTTTCACTATTGCTGCAAAGTTTAGAATGTACCCAACTATCTGTTGAGGCAGGTCTTATTGAAAGTTGTGAAAACTGACGTAGAGCAGTGAATTAACTTCCTAGTAACACACATTAATGAGTGGCAGAGTAGACACCTGTACTCAGATCTTGCGGCCAGAGGTCTTTCTAATGAATTTTTCTGAAATGGAATGGAATAGGGTGAAATGTCTCAGTCTACATCATCTATCTCGCCATCATTTCTTGTTCTCATAAGTTGATTCTAGAGGCCCTCAGTTTGCTAAAAATTAGATAGGTCCTCCAGGGTTTCAAGGAGGGAAACATAATCTGACTTCAGGGCCATTGTGGAGTGAGATGCATCTTACTTTTTTTTTTTCTTTATGGTATTGCAAAGACCACTGGATATAATTTCACTTCCTCTTGGATTTTTTTTTTTTTGATGGTCTAAAAAATTAAACACTGTAGTTCCTGTTACAAAGAACGTGATCTGCTGGAACTGGAAATGTTTAATTCTCAGAATTCATTGAAATCCATTGATGATCATATTTGACATCTACTGGTCATCCTGAGTGAAGTTTAGCCATTCAGAGTTCAAGCCATGGGTCTTCATATACAGATGGTTATAAGCAGACTCACCTCTGCTTAAGGTAATCAAGTTTGGCATGGAAACATGAGCAAAGGTAATTAAACTCAGAAGATTTGCTAGCATTAAAAAATGGCAAATCCCTGGAACAAAAATGTGAAAAGCTAATTCCCCCACCCCTTCATCACCTGCTTTTCTCTCTGCTTTTGCCATCGCAAAGCTCTATAAAGAAACTGGCCACCAGGGTCATTATCAGTCTGAGCTGAAAATTTGATTAAGTTGGCCTCCTAGGGTTAGCATGAAAAATGCTACATTTTTGTTCTTGGAACTTAATTCCTCTTGCCCTCATTTTTGTCATGCTTGCAAATTTCATTTGCATTTAATTTCCCGTGGTTTGCCAAAGTCCAGACTGAGACTTGAGCTGTTGTTTTTATTCAGGTGAGAAATGCAACTGCAATTGACCATCTGCACTGGCATCTAGTCAAGTGATTGTCCGAGGCAAGTATCTGTCCTTCTAAAGTGTCCTAAGGAAGCTTTGCTACCCAGCCCACCAATGAACTTATTGAATGAAAGAGACCTTATCCTGTTTGCATGAGTTTAGTCATGGGCAGTTCTCATCACATGCCAGCAACATCCTCTTAATATTCCAGCATAATTAAGGAAATTGCACCAGAGATGTCTTGAGATCATGGCCCACTAGAATCTTGTCTAGGAGTTTTATTTAAGGAAGACATCAGTGACATCAAATGAAGAAGAGATCCCTACTGTGATCTATTGTGATCTACTGTGATGCAATACTGAAAAGCCAGTCTCTTCCTGGGTACTGGATTCTCAGTTTATTCTGGGTCAAGTCAGCAGGAAGAGTAGCATTCATAGGGGGTTCTGACCCATTCCCATTTACAGGAAAAGAAAATCAAATAAGGTATCAGTAGGTGAAACTTTATCATTAGTGCCAAGCAAGAGAATGCTGATTCTTTAGAAAAGATCATCTCTTTGTGTCTAAATTTCCTTATCTGCAAAATATCAACTCATATGGTAGTAGTGAGAAATAAATAAAGGTAAAGGACTTAGATCAGAATTTAGCATAATGGCAATTCAAATGTTAACCATCAGTGTTTTGATGGTATCATCTCAAATTAACTGGATTTTCTGTTTCTATTTCCTCTAGGAAAGGATTTTGGAGATTCCCATCTGATATTCTTCTATTTGGTCTCTTGTACCCATTGTCTTCCTGTACCACACACATAATAAAGTTTAAGAATGTCAAGCAATCCATCTGCATCTAATTTTTGTTTGGAATAACCTGCAGGATTTTCTAATACATCTTGAAATATCAATACATCTCCAGTCTTGTCTTCAACCTATTTAGTATTGATCATTTTTGGAGCAATGGTGCCTTAAAGTCAAAATTTTGCTGTATTGTCAAATGAGCTATCTGGGAAATCACATTTAAACACACTTAGTTTTCATTTAATTTCATAACACAACACATATTTCCTAACTCTAGGCATAAATACATTCAACATTTTCACCATCATGGTTTAAAAATTAGTACCTGTTAGTACTCAGATATTTAAGGAAACGCCAATGACCAATTTTTAAAAATCCTTTGTATGGCAGAAAATTTGCCAAAAGCAAACCTTCTGAAGTACATTTCAGTTTATACTTCAGTCTAATTTAAATCATTTGTTCCCCTAACCTTGTGGGCATCAAAAGGTCACCTGTATTTAACAAGCTTCTCAGTGATTCTGATGCACATCCAGGTTTGGGAAACAGTTTTATTTTTTAAATTGTCCTTGATAAGAAACACATGCAATATGGCATTGATGTGATGGTGATCACTTACAGAGCAAAGTGTTTTTCATGGTATTAAAATGATTGATTTTTGAAAAGTTATTTGGGTTCATTGCACAAGTGGGATCTACCATGTACCCAAGAATTCACCCCTCTGTAGGCTAGTACTGTGAGAAGCTATGTCAAGGTCCTCTCTCAAGAGACTCCAATCTGGTGTTGCAGACTAAATAAAACTAAAGTTAATTGCTGAGCTCTGTTACTGGAGCACAAAAACATAGCATCACCTTTGTTTAAAGCTGAATCACCATGACAACACTCAATAAGAAGCTGGGTCAACATTCCTTTTTTCTGCACTCAGTCGGCCACAAGGCCTGGCCTTTTGTAGGCAAAGTGTGTTGATACATCTTATGCAATCATTTCAAGGCACTTATCCAAGGAAGTCTACATATTTTTTTTTAGCCCTGAAGTCCTCAAAGAGAATATGATTTTTAAATCTTCATTTATGCTTTCTATGCTTTTCTGCGCAATCAGATAGTGAAAATGATCAGGATAGTCTTCAATAACTATTGCTGTTAATAAATCAACCATGATTTTATGGAGAAGCAGTCTAGTGCCCAGGTTAAGACTGAAGATGCTGGAGCCCCATATACCTGGATTCTAAATCCAACTTTGTCATTCTCCATATTGTGATGTGGCCATGTTGCCTACTCTGCGCATCAGTTTTCTCATCTGTAAAATTGGTATAATCTTAGTAACTACCACATGGGGCAGTTATTAGGATTAAATTAGTTAATATATATGACATGATGCTTAAAACAGTGATTGGCATGTAATAGAATGCTAAATAATTTGTTGTTACTCCTTAATGACTATCACCAACTGAAGTATAGTTGTCAATCCATACAGTAGCCACTGGATACTTGTGGCTACTTAAATTAATTAGAATTAAATAATCTTGCACAAGTCACATTTCAGGTTCTTAACAGGCACATATAGCTAGCAGCTCCCATATTGGACTACAAAGTTAGAGAACATTTCCATTATCACAAAAATTAAATAGCACTGAGCCACAACTTAAGAGAAGGTAAAAAGAGGGATAAGAATGTCCTTTATAAAAGAGTTCCTTTTGTTCTTAATACTCTCCATTGCTTATAAGAATTATCTATACATCTCTCAAGAGTGTTTGGACCCATTTCTTTTGTAGCTTCTAGTAAAAAGCCATTTACGTTGTAGAGTGTACAGTATATACTGTGAGTTAACAAAAATAGTTTATCAGAAATGATGTTCTCTTAGTTGAGAAGGTTTCCCCAATTCCTTTCACAAGCTATTTATAACGCTTTCTATTCA